CTAGTGAGGAAAAGGGAACACATATATTAAAGTTAAGAATGTAAATTAAGAAATATTTTGGGGCAGCCTGGGTGGCTCAGCGGTTTAGCACCGCCTTCAGCCCAGGGCGTGATCCTGGGGACCCGGGAATGAATCCCACGTGGGGCTCCCTGCATGGAGCCTGCTTCTCCCTCTGCCTGTGTCTCTGCTTCTCCCTCTCTCTCTCTCTCTCTCTCTCTCTCTCTCTCTCTCTCTCTCTCATGAATAAATAAATAAAATCTTTTAAAAAAAGGAAAAGAGGGACGCCTGGGTGGCTCAGTGGTTGAGCTCCTGCCTTTGGCCCAGGGCATGATCCTGGAGTCCCAGGATCCAGTCCCGCATCGGGCTCCCTGCATGAAGCCTGCTTCTCCCTCTGCCTGTGTCTCTGCCTTTCTCCGTGTGTCTCTCATGAATAAATAAATAAAATATTAAAGAAAAAAGAAATATTTTGGAGGGGCTTCTGGCTGGTTCAGTTGGTCTGGCATCTGCCTTCAGCTCAGGTCATCATCCCAGGGTCCTGGGATGGAGTTCCAGGTCAGGCTCCTTGCTCAGTGGAGAATCTGCTTGTCTCCTTCTCCTTCTGCTGCTACCCCTGCTTGTGCTCTCTCCCTTTATTTCTTTGTCTAATAAATAAACAAAATCTTTAAAAAAGAGAAATATTTTGGAAAACACTTTGGCAATCCCTTTAGATTGGATTCCCCGTGAGCTGATTTTGACCAAGAATTCACATAAAAGTGATACAACAAGACCACAAGAAGTGGTCCAAATAAAAGTACACTGATGGGGAGTAAGGGAAGAAAGCTAAGCAATGTTTTGGTATCAACTAAAGTGTCACAGAGGGTCACTTGACAAAATCCATTGTACAAGCAATGTAGGTCACACCTCAAACTTGTTCCAGTCAAGGACATGAGAGCTAAGGTTTTTATAACTACACATCCATCAGTCATTGGCTAAAGGCTGCTCTCTCTGGAGAACTTAAATTACTAGCTACTAGCTCTTCATGCTTGCAGACAAAGGGGATGTTGGTAGCCTGTGGGCAAAGAGCCACAGATACTAGCTGTTGGGAGGAAAAGCACAAGGGAAGCTGATGTGCATGAAAATGGTTGAGAGGTCCAAGGGGGAGAAAGACAGAATGTTAATAGCATCTGCTTCCATGGGCATTAGTTTTAATACTGTTAATACCATGAAAAATAATATGACAGCTAGAATCAGCCCCTCCAGCCCTTCTTATAGTTACTTGCACTAACTGCTTAAATACACCTGCTTAAAATACCTGGGGTATATTGTTTGTTTGCAAATGCCTGTTTCTTCTATCTGTGCTATTCTAAAAGAGTAGACAGAAACATGATCTTCATCTTAAGTTAATGAAATGTGCACAAGGCACATCTAACATTTCTTTGTACATATTAGGAGCCCAAAACATGCAAGTCGTCAATACTTTTAAGTATCAGATATTAATATGTTTTCTTGTAGGCAGAATGGACAGGGCTGGCCCTGATGTTATGGCTACTCACATAGCAAATTCTTTGCTCCTCATCTTTATGACCTTGATCAAACAAATTGTATGGATGTCAATTCATTATTTTTTAAAGACTTTATTTATTTATTTGTGAGAGACACAGAGTGAGAGGCAGAGACACAGTCAGAGGGAGAAGCAGGCTCCCTGACAGGAGCTTGATGCAGGACTCAATCCCAGGACTCCAGGATCACAATCTGGGCCAAAGGCAGATGCTCAACCACTGAGCCAACCAGGTGTTCCATGACCAACAGTTGAATAAACGCCGTGCTTCTCTCTAAGCGATTGGCCTGTGATGGCCACCTGACACTTCTCCTCAACAGCCTTTGTTAAACCAGTAAGAGAATCAATGCCTAGAGGATTACAATAATAAATGCAAAGTTCAGGCCCTTGCAGTACAGACTTAGTGATTAGCTGTAGTGATGATAGGATCCAGGGGTCTTGATGCCCTCACTAGGTATTGATTGGTCAGTAGACTGGTTTTTTTCTTACTGTCCAGTTGTGACCATTTCCCCATATCATTAGGTAGTTTAAAATCATAATGGCCATTCATTTTACTTTATTTCACTGAGTGTCTTTAGATTGATCACTGTCCTTTCCATGCCTGGTCCCATTAGATGTGTGACATTTCATTTTAGATGTATTGCTCAGAACAGCTTGATGAAGGACCTAAGTTCTCACAGTACCTCCATGATGGAAGACAAAGAAGTGTCTCAAGCCCTGAAGAAGCAAGCAGAGTACCAGACCCCTGAAAATGCTCCTGGAGGAAGCTTCAGGGCCCCCCAGATTTCTGGTACTCTCTCAGCCTGTCCCTTCAGCTCCAAGTCTCTGGTAAACAGATGGATCAGGAGTACTCACAAAGAGTCCATCCGAATTCCATTCCTATTCTGTCTCTGCCATAGGGCAGCCTCTGGATACAGGGGTATACTCAGCACTCCGGGGATAAGGGAAGAGAGAGCCATTTCACCACTATGTTCTACCACGATTCCCCTGAGTCGGACACTCAGGACACTGAACCACCCAAAGGCCACTTTGTTACCATTTTAAATTTTTGTGAATTTTACTGTCACAAAATTTCTGTAATGTCTTAATTACAGATTTCAAGTCATCATTGGCCTCAACTACCACAAGTTAATAAATAAAAGGTTAATTGCATTTCTCTCTTGTCCCTCTTATATGCATCTTCCATTTTCTCGGTTTTTAATTGCTCCCTTCTTCTAAGGTAAAGTTTCTTGGTGGATACAGAGTTGAGTGCTAGAAGGAGGTCAGGGAAACAGAACGAGAATGATAACCTCAAGGCAGAGGCGTTGGATTGCAAAGTAATGAGAAAGAACCACCTTCCTTCCTCACAAATGCTGTTCATTTGTCCCTTTGTGGACTCTTACTAAAGTGTCTATGATTGATTCTTGCAAACTAAGACCGTCACCAAGACATTTTCCTCATGAAAAATGACTGGGGATGATACAACTAGAGTACATGAAGGCATGATCCCTAACAGAGCCATTCTGGTGGAAGGAAGATAACTGCCAGGTGTTTTTGTTGGGAAAGGCGGGTTGGGGCAGGCTGTTAAGGACATTGTTCGAAGGATATTCAGAAGCCCCTGCTCATTCTACCTACCTCTCCAGCCAAGTGGACACAGATCATAGGGATAATGCTAGACAGAGTACATAAACTGTTTCCAAACGCTTCCCAGAACCACTTGAGCAGGGTCTATGTTTATTTTTTTTATTTTTTTAAAGATTTTATTTATTTATTCATGATAATACACAGAGAGGAGAGAGAGAAGCAGAGACACAGGCAGAGGGAGAAGCAGGCTCCATGCAGGGAGCCTGATGTGGGACTCGACCCTGGATCTCCAGGATCACACCCTGGGCTGAAGGCCGCGCTAAACCACTGACCCACCGGGGCTGCCCGAGCAGGGTCTATGTTTAAAACCAAACAGTGAGGGCAGCCCAGGTTGCTCAGTGGTTTGGCGCTGCCTTTAGCCCAGGGTGTGGTCCGGGAGGGTCCTGGAGACCCGGGATCCAGTCCCACGTCGAGCTACCTGCATGGAATGAGCCTGCTTTTCCCTCTGCCTGTGTTTGTGCCTCTCTCTCTCTGTGTTTCCCATTAATAAATAAATAAAATCTTAAAAAAAAACAGTGAATATGCTTAAGACAGTCATCCTTGAAACCCATGCAGGAAAGCTGACAGGTAGCACCTCAACTTGAGATCTCATAATTAGCGTTCAATTGTTTTAAGAACTCTGTGAATGATAACAACTTTATTAAGTAACTAAAAAAAAACCCTCTGATTTCAAGATTTTGATCTATTATAAGCCATCCTGAAAGTAAGTGATGCTTCCATGATTTCTTGGAATAAAAACATTATCGTATATATAACACAGATGTTCCTCTAGTTTCTGTACAGCCTATGAAACACTGTACATATACAGCAACAGTTTACCTGTTCAAAAGAAGAGAGATAGAGAGAAGGGGAAAAGTGAAAAAAAAAAACCAGTGGTATGATGGATTCTTTTGCATGTTCTTGAAAAATCACCCAAATTAGAAGTGAGACAGAGTTGACAGTGCTGCCTTAGAAGCCCACCTTTCATCTAACTCTAGTAGGATACTTAACTTTTCCAGCCATAGATGAGGCAGCAGAGGCTTTTCTCAGCCACTCTGGATTTCAGAGGTGAGCATGCAGAGAACAGTCAGAAGTGACATTTTTCCCTTTCTGCCTTTCAGAGAAACTTATAATTTTATTGTCCTGTAGTTCATCAACCAGGTTCGAACTAAATTAACAATCACACTTCTGCACTCCCTGCTCTACTACTCACACAACCAAGGCTCTATAAATGTAAATGCTTTTTCTAAAGAACCTGTCGTTCTGATTTCCTGAATAATGGATTAAATAAAATTTGACAGGTGTTCAGCAACCTATGTGTGGGATTCATGATTTGTCACAGAAAGATGTTGTGCATTCCAGCAGCTCTTTGGAAACGAGGAAATGTTTTCCAGAAGCTTCCTAGCTGCCTTTTCCTGATATTCCCTTGGCCAAATTCAGATGCAGGTCCATTTCCTAGGGGGCATGGGCTGACCGGATTGGAAGAGTCAGCATCTGGGCCCACATGACGGTCGGAGGGATCTCCATCCCCAGGACCACCACAGGACCACTTGCTGTTTCATTTTTTTAAAATATTTAATTTATTTATTCATGAGAGACACACAGAGAGAGGCAGAGACACGGGCAGATGGAGAAGCAAGCTTCCCGCAGGGAGCCCCGATGTGGGACTCCATCCAAAGGACCTTGGGATCACAACGCGAGCCAAAGGCAGACGCTCAACCGCTGAGCCACCCAGTGTCCTCCTGTTCTGTTTCATAATGCAAGATTCCACATCAGCCACAGATCTGCAGGGCACACGCCTGCTGAACAAGACCCACGGACCCCGAGTACCGGCCCGGGGAAGGAAGAGGTGCCACATTCATCGAGATTCAATTTCTTTTAATAGCTTCTGACATTTATTGAAAAAAAGAAAAGACGTTTGTCCAGGTAGTGTGGAAGGGCTGGGCAGAGTGCAGGGGTTAATTACTGTGTTGAACAAAAGGCACACATCAGAGGGACAGCTGCGAACTGAGAACAAAAGTGGGTTCTGGGCAAAACGCACAGGTCCACAGGAAAAAGAAAACGAGTGCCTGGATCTGGCTGCCAGGCACCCCTGGGACCCGGTGGCCATCTGGCAGGAGCAGAAGAGGTCTCTGGGAGGAGGGGGGTGGAACGGGTCTCACTGGAGGCGAGAGGCTGGCCGGCCCCTCCGCGGGGGTGGGTGGCAAGCTGCTGGAATCAGTGTCCGGGGACCGCGGCCGGCTCGGATACTTCGTGGCTGAGCTCAGATCGCTGGAGGCCGCAGTCTGGTGGTGGCGCGCGGTGGGGGGCGTCAGCGGCGGCGGCGGCAGCCACGGCGCGGGTCCGCCTCCTGGCACCGCGCTGCAGGCCTGGCGGTCAGTCTGGCGGAGGCGGCCCGCGGCGGCCGGGCTGTGGGTGGTCCGCCCGGCGTGTAACGCGAGCCCGGCCCGCAGCTGGAGCGCGGGCCCGAGTCCAAGTGTGCACGGGAGGGGCCCGGCTGGCCGCACGGGGCGGCGGCGAGCTCCGGAGCGGGGCCCAGAGGCAGCGGCGGGGACCTGGAGCGCTATTCCTGGAACAAAGGCAAGCACTACGCGGGAGGGGACAGCAGCGCGGGGGAGAGCGCGGCCACTCGAGCGCGGCGAAGGTGAGGGCGGGGGAGGCGCGGCGAGGCGACGGGCGCAGCGGACCCTCCCCCCGAGCACCCGCCCCCAGGCCCGAGGGGCTCTCGGCCTAGAAGTCCTCGTCCTCCACCCATCCAAAGACCCGCTTCATCTCGGCCAGGAAGCCCCGGTAATCACTGAGGAGGGGGCTCTCCTTCCTGATGTAGGGGATCACCCACTGCAGGGCCGGCCCGGTGAGGCGGGTGATGAGGAACGTCACCTTCAGGGCATCGCTGGAGAACAGGGTCTCGTCCACTAACATGTAGGCGCCCGTCTGCACGATGAACTCCGGCAGCCGGTCGGTGTCGCCGTCAAACGTCTCGGGGAAGGGAATCGGGTTCCTCCACCGCCGCGTCTGGGGCCGCAGGGGCAGGGCCAGGAGGGCCTTGATCAGCTGCACCCGGCCGTCCATCGCGCCGCGCTCGCGCTCACAGGGCTGGGCTGGGCGGGGCGGGGCGGGGCGGGGCGGAGGTGGGCGGGGAGGCGTGGCGGGAAGTGCGTGCGCGCGGAGGCGGGCCCGGGCCCGGGGGCGGGGTTGGCGCGGGCCGGGGCGCTGGCGCGGGCCCGGCCCGTGAGGTCGGGTGGTCGTTAGGGCGCAGGCGCTCGGACGGGAGCTGTTCACTGGGTGGGAGCGTGCGCCGGAGGCCAGGCCTAACGACCGGCGAGGAGGCGGAATCAGAATGAAGGGGCGTGGCCGTGGCTCCGCACGTGGGCGGTGGGCGAGGGGCGGGGCCAGGGGAGGAGCCCAGGTTCCCTTGGTGTGGGCGGGGCGAGCTACTGGTCTAGAAGGGAGGGCTAAGTGCTCTGGTTTTAAGGCGTCTGTCTGGTGTATATTGTCCCTGCCGTCCATTCACCTGTCATGTGGGTTGAATGTCCCTTTCATTTTGCCCATTTCTCCCCCTCAGTCCAGCTGTATCATTTGCGGACCTTGTCTCTTGACTTCACTTGAGATTCTGTGAACACATTTTCCTGCTGCTTTGTACTTATTCGTGAACCTTTCAGCCAAAGAAGTATTGCACCGCTGGTTGTTGATGAGGTTGCTTGCAACATAAAGGGAAAGCCCCAAATACTGGCCAACAAAATCCAAAGTAGCATATTTAAAGTATAATGCATCATGGTCAGTTAATATAAAGAGGTATAGTGATACAAACCTCTTAATTTTGTATCAAGCTTGCTGGCAGTACTCTGTGTTGCTCTCTCAATAGGTAGTTCAACACTGTAGCTTACTTCCTCATAGCAATGGGAGAGGGAGACGGAGTCAGTTTGCAAGATGGAGATATGCTTAATGTAACATAATCACAAGAGCGACATTCCATCACCTCTCTCATGTTCTTTGTTTAAAATCAATTCACCGTCCCTATGCACACTCAAAGGCATCATCAGGAGGTGGGATCTTGGGGCCACTTTAATGTTTGCCATAGTATAAATGTGTGTACCACAGTTTGGTGATCTGTTCATCTGTTCAAGGGCCTTGGGCATGTTTCACATTTTTAGCAGTTACTAATAAGTCAGCTATAAACATTCAAGTACAGATTATTGTGTGAGCATATGTTTTCATTTCTCTAGGGTAAATACCTAGAAGGAGGATTTCTATGTCATATTGTTCTTAGAAAACTCTCATTAAACTAGGAATAAAATAGAACTCCTCAAACTAATAAAGGACCTAGGAAAACCTAAGGCTGGCATCATAATTCTAGGTGAAAGTCAGAATGCTTCCACTCTTAGATCAAGAAGAAGACAAGCATGCACACTGTCAAACATCTGAATTAAATATTGTGCTGGAGGTTCTAGCCAGTGCAATAAGGAGAAAAGGAAGGAAGGAAGGAAGGAAGGAAGGAAGGAAGGAAGGAAGGAAGGAAGGATGGAAGGAAGGGGAGACAAAGAAAAGGCATCCATATTGTCAGGAAGAAAAAGACAAATTCTTGTTTTTTGCAGACTACATGATCATGTATGTAGAAAACAGATTCTCTAGGATGTAGAATGAACAACAACAACAAAGTACAACTAATAAGTGAATTTAGCAAGGTTCGAGACCCAAAGTAAATATTCAAAAATCAATCATATTTCTAGTAATAAACAAAGACCTTTGAAATTAGGAAAAATTTAACACCATAGAAATGTGTAAAACTTAGAGTTAAATATGACAAAAATACTTTTAAAATATTTTTAAATATTTTATTTCAATATTTGAAAAGTATAAAACATTCCTGAGATAAATTACAGCCAATCTGAGTAATGGAAAGATATATGTTCATGGGTTGGAAGAGTCAATATTGTTAAAATATTAATTCTCCCCAAATTGATCTATAGATTCAAAGTCCCAGCAAAAATGTTAACATATAAAAAGTAATTGATTCTAAAATTCATTTCAAAATGAAAAAGACATGCAATGGCAAAACTGCATTGAAAAATGATTAAATTGAAGAACTAGTATTATTTGATTTCAGGATCTGTGGTAAAGCTATAGTAATTAAGACAGTGTAGTACTGTCACAAGATAGATTAATGGAAGAGAAAATGGGATCCAGAAGTAGACCCATACTTATATGGACAACTGAGTTCTGACAAAGATGTAAATACAATTATGGGGAAAAGCTAGTCCTTTCAACAATGATACAGGAACAATTAAATATTCATTTACCAAAAAGCCCACAAAACATTGCAGGGGTGCCTAGGTGGCTCAAGTGGTTGAGCATCTGAGTCTTGGTTTCAGGTCAGGTCATGATCTCCGGGTCCTGAGATGGAGCCCGGAATTGGGCTCCCAGCTCAGTGGGGAGTCTGATTCTCCCCCTCTCTCTGCTCTTTCTTCTGTGTGTGTTCTCTCTCTCAAATAAATTAATTAATTGAATATTTTAAAAAAATTAACCCAAATGATTAATCGTTCTAATGGTAAAACCTAAAGTTATAAAACTAGGGGGAAACAGGAAGAAAAGTTGTGCAAACTCAGATTAAGTGAACATTTCTTACTTATGACACCAGAAACAATGCATAAAAGGAAAATTAGGTAAATTGTATTTCATCAAATTAAAAATTTGATGTTCTTCAAAAAACACTTTTAAGAGAATGAAAAGAAAAAGCACAGGCTAGAGGAAAATAGTTGAAATTACATATCTGATTAAGACTTGAATATGGGATATATATATATATATATATATATATCCTACAACATTCAACCACAAAAAGTAAACAATCCAATTAAAAATGGTCAAGATATTTGAACAGACAGTCCATAAAAGAAATCTATGGTAGATAAGTGCACACACAAAAAAGATGTTTAATATCATTAATAATTAGGAAATTTCAAATTAAAACCAGGATGAGTGACCACACCTATTAGAAGAACTAAAGTAAAAATAAAACAGAAAAAAACAAAATTGACAATACTAAGTGTCATTGAATTTGAAGAGCAAATTAATCCCATACATTGCCGGTGGAGATACAGAATAGTAGAACTGCTTTGGAAAATATTATTGGCATCTCATTAGATTGCTTCATGCAACTTTACAGACTATTATTCCCCCTCTTCTGATATAACCACTATTCTGAATTCTACATTTAGTTTTGTCCCTTCTTGACACTGATATAAAAAAGAATCATAAACTTCTATATTTTCTTGTGCTCACTTCTTGTACTGAATATATTTTCTGTAGCAGTCATCGATATTGCTGTGAGTCATTGATAGTAGTTCCTATTTAAATATCGGCTAGAATTCCTCTGTATGAATATAACACATTTATTATCCATTTGCCTAATCTAGTAATATACTAAAAATACTACATCAAACTTATTTTTTTCTAAAGATTTTATCCATTCAGTTGACACACATACAGAGAGGGAGAGCACAAGCAGACAGAGTGGCAGGCAGAGGAAGAGGGAGAAGCAGGCTCCTTTCTCTGCAGGGAGCACAGTATACGGCTCTATCCAGAACACAGGGAGCACGACCCAAGCAGAAGGCAGAAGCCCAACTGTCTAAACCAGATGTCCCACATTGCAACACAATGTTGCTTTATTAATTGAAAATCAAACATGTAATTTGCTATACTAACCAAGAATAAGGATGTAGTCTACAGAGGAAGGATGCCTCAAGGATGTCTGTATCCTAATCCCCACAACCTAAGAATATACAGCAACAGAAAATTAAAGTTGCAGATGGTAAAAAAATAAAAATAAAAAAATAAAGTTGCAGATGGAACTAAGTTTTCTAAGCAGTTTATCTTAAAATAGTGACATTATCCTGGATTATTTAATCAGGCAACTCTTAAAAACAGAAGAGGAAGGCAGAAGAGTGTGTTAGAGAAATACCACGTGAGAAACACAGAGTCCACCACTGTTGACTTTTAAGAAGAAAGGGTCCAGGAGCCCAAAAAGGCATACATAGTCAGCCAATACCAGGATTTTGTTTGAAAGACCCATACCAAATTTCTATCGTACAGAACTGTCAGATGATAAACTTCTGATAACTCATGATAAATATGTGATAATTTCTTAAACAACAATAGACAACTAATTTAAAAAGAAAAAATCTAGGGTACCTTGCTGGCTGAGTCAGTAGAGCATTTGACTCTTGATCTCGGGGTTGTATGTTCCAGCGCCACCTTGGGTGTAGAGAGGACATAAAATACAGTGTTCAAAGGGTGCTGGGGTGGCTCAATCTGTTCCGTGATCCGCTCTTGGTTTTGGCTCAGGTCATGATTTCGCAGTCCTGGGATTCAGCCAAGTTGGGCTCTGCAAGGGGTCAGGTTCAGATTCTCTCTTCCTCTGCTCTGCTCACTCTCTCCCTCTCACTGTCTCAAATAAATGAAATATAAATAAATAAACAAAGAAACAAATAAATAACATGTGTTTAATTTATTATTTTTTTAATAACATGTTTTTAAAAAGAGAGGGGAGGAGGGTGCCTGGGTGGCTAAGTCTGTTAAACTGCTGCCTCTTGATTTCTGCTCCGGTTATGATCTCAGGATTGTGAGATTGAGGGGGTCAGACTCTATTCGTGGCACGGATTTTCTCTCCCTTGCCTTTGTCACTTTCTCCCCCTCTCCTCTAAGAGAGAAATCCATCTGATCATCCCAAGAGAAAGTGAAACTATATTTGACATCTTTCTTTAAAAAAAAAAAAGATTTGTTTATTCATGAGAGACACACAGAGCGAAAGAGAGAGGCAGAGACACAGAAGAGGGAGAAGCAGGCTCCAAGTAGGGAGCCCAACGAGGGACTCAATCCCGGGACTCCAGGATCACGCCCTTGGCTGAAGGTGGCGCTAAACCGCTGAGCCACCTGGGTTGCCCCTATTTGACATCTTTCATTTCCTACTATTAAAGAATAGATAAAACTCATGGAGAGCATCTTGGGATTTTTGGAGGCAAGAAATACATTCAGTTGCACTGGGAGAACACTTTTTAAAAAAGATTTTACTTATTTATTCATAAGAGACATGGAGAGAGGCAGGGAC